AAAAGTAGTGTATGCTAAAAGTGCACATTCAGTATAATTAAGTGCACTACTTTTTCACATTGGATGGACCCTATGAGACCCTGTTATTGGAGTCCCACTTGTCACAGTTGCAATTATAAGAAATAAAGTTGAAGTTACGAGAATAAACTCATGTGCACATTGCAAGAGACAACAAGACACCACAATATTATTAAACATCACAGATGCAGCAATAAGACGTTCAAAAGTCTCTGTTATTGCTGACAAGATGGCAGGAAAAGATTTTCTCATTACTTCATTCATTTCATACCGTGCCAACAGTCAGTGGCACACATTCAAGCACTATATGTTTCTATGTCAATTTTACATCTGTAGTGGCATGGTTTTTTTGTTTGCTGTTAGGATTCTCTCAATTCAAGGCCTCTGGTGGATGCAGAGGATAGGCACTGGATAGGCACTGGTCCAACCGGCCTGATCCATAATCCATCCTTGGACAGGACTTGTTTTTATCTGTTGGAAACTGACTGGGTCATGAAAAGTGGGCGTTCCAGACCTGAATGCGAGTCGACTGAGGAGTACTTTCTTCCTGAAAACTGCTGGCACCCACTTTTGAAGAGGTGTTTTGAACAGAAAGAGGAGGCTTAAGGTCAAGTTCACCCTCCAAAGCATCTTTGTGTACTATAATGGAAATGCTTCATTTCGTTGTTCATTTTTTGCTGTTCTATTATGCTTATTTAAAGGGGGAGTTAGGGGTTAAGTAAAATTTTAAAAGTTTTTAAAAATATTTTTATTCAGCAAGGACGCATTAAATTGATCAAAAGAGTAATGCTGCAGTGACAGAAAAGACACTAATAATGTTACAAAAGATTTGTATTTAAAATAAATGCTGTTAATTGAACTTTCTATTCGTCGAATCTTGAAAAAAAAATTGTCATGGTTTCCACAAAATTATTAAGCACCAAAAACTTTTTTAACATTGATATTAATGAGAACCATTATCAATAAATGAGCTCCAATAATAATTATTAATAATTGAGCAAATTAGAATTATTTCTAAAGGATCATATGTGACCCTGGACCACAAAACCAGTCATAAGGGTCAATTTTTTCGAAATTGAAATTTATACATTATCTGAAAGCTAAATAAATAAGCTTTCCATTGATGTATGGTTTGATATGATATGACAATATTTGGCCGAGATACAACTTTTTGAAAATCTTGAATCTGAGGGTGCAAAAAAATCAAAATATTGAGAAAATTGCCTTTAAAGTTGTCCAAATGAAGTTCTTAGCAATGCATATTGAAGACTGGAGCAATGATGCTGAAAATTCAGCTTTGCATCACAAGAATAAATTACATTTTAAAATATATTCAAATAGAAAACAGTTATTTGAAATTGTAATAATATTACTCAATATTATGGTATTTTTTGGTCAAATAAATGTAGCCTTGTTGAGCTCAAAACATTCAAAATCCACTTCTGACCAGTACACACTAAAGGAAAGGTCAAATAAAAAAGCATAGTATGTGCCCTTTTTACATTAAAGGGATAATTCACCCAAAAATGTAACCGTGGTCCTTGGTGATTCAAAAAATACAAGTCAGTGGATGCCCATGTTTCAGAAGCTGAACGTTATTTACAACATTATTACCTGTAATCCAGAGCCTCAAACAAACAGTCTGGAGTGATGTCTGGTTTGTGAACGAATCATTCTTTTCAACCAGTTCTTTTTTGTGAACTAGTTGAGCTAGTTGAACCAGTTCACCGAATCTGACTGAAACATCTGAAACACTTTGAGCCTTGAGCAGCACAGATATACAAGTTACTCAATCAAAAGTCACTTCAGATGTGGCTGACAGTCTCTTTTGACTTGAAATGAGCCAAAATAACAGTGGATATGATCCTATGGTGCTGGTTTTGCCAACTCATTTAGGACTCCAGTTCTTCCAACAGTCACTTTATTCACTTTATATGCTTTAGACCTTTAGACATGTAAACCATCCACGTTTCACATCATTATTGGGTGCTTTAATAATATAATTGCGTATATGTCATTACGTCATTGCATGATTAATGGACATAAACAAACTAGTGAACTGAACCAGTTAATAGAATCAAACAGTTAATTGAATCAAACGGTCCAGTCCATGGAAAAGAATCTGATTTCCCCATTGCTTGCTATGGATTATAGGGAATAATTTTGTAAGTAATGTTCAGTTTCTTGCACAGACCAATTGTTTCTCTTCATAAGACTTCAGCATATCGTCAGAAGCCACGGCTATTAATTTTGCGTTCCTTGATATGCTTTTTTTATTCTCAAAAATGGGCAGCTGCTGACTTGCATTTTATGAATCACCAAGGACCATGGTTTCAGCTAAAAATCTTCTTTACTGTTCTCCTCAAGAAGTGTCACCTACATCTTGGATGGCCTGAAGGTGAGTAAATTAACAGCAATTTTTCATTTTTGGGTGAACTAGCCCTTTAACTAGCATCCGATTAATACATTACATTCTGGCATGCATTTTAAGAAGGCTGCATTTGCAGTACATACAACAGTCGCCTAAAACAATGGCTAAATAGCTATTTAGAGATTGGTTAAAATTACTAATGGCCTGTGCTGCCTATGTGACATCGCCCAAAAAGCATAGTCAGAAGTGGAGCAAAAACATTTAAAGAAAGATTACAAAGGCTTTAAAATCTGTCACTATACATTTGTGCATTACAGCATAATCAATAACTTTCAGAGTCGTTCTACACGCACTAAATTCCAGCTAATAAAAATTCCAAGCCTACGTGTCCACCTCCATCAGAAGAGACACCAGCACTAACCTGTCATAATCCTGGCAGATCTCCCCCACGGCTATCAAGGCTTTCAGATACTCATTCGGCTGATATGGGTTGATGTAGTGCAGGGAACAGCTATTGCGAGGGTCCCCATTGGACGCCGTGAAGTCAATGGCAACCTAGAGAGATAATAGCATGACACACTCTTGATAAAACCGCAAAATGCAGGACAAAAATGTAATGGGTTACATAATCTGATCGATCGTCAAGTAAGTTTAATCACTTTAGTTTTACGCCTGGAACAAAAGTTGTCTCCATTGTAGACAATTGAAAGGAAATGTCAGTCTACAAAAAAGCCAAGCACTTAAGAGCTGTCTTTCCTGGGAAGTTACACAAAACCTGTCTAGAACAGTTCTGCAATCATATAGCCATCTGTATAAATAATTAAAGTGCTTAAAACGGATAGTATGTACATTTTATTTGTTTAGAGCTGAGCCGGTTGTATAGTCATGCATCAAGCAGATGTTATAATCCAAAATAACAAAAACAGCTACCGTATGCTCTATAATACAGAAAAACAGCTCATATCCCAGAAAACACTTGATATATTATATACTGCATTACAGTTAACTTGTCACGGTTTCAGTTCCATTTGGACTTTGTTTTCTGTTTGCACCATTTCCACTGTTGAGTTGGTTGTTATGTTTTCTGATTAGTTGTCATTCAGTTCAGGTGTATGTTGTTAATTATCCTTGTTTGCTCGTGTATTTAAGTTGCTCTGTTTCGGTTCAGTGTTGTTGGGTCTCTTCTGTGTTGGAAGTGTTGTTGCTGTTCTCTATATGTGGATTATTTACCTGTGGATTTATTAAAGATTACCTTCTGCCTTCATCTTTGTGCTCTAAAACACCGTTCCATGACATAACTAAAGATCCTATGTGAATACTGCACCAAAACATTGATTCTAACCATTCACTCGAAGGCTTTCACTGCTTGACATCTGATTATCTTTAATTTAACAGGCAACGGGGGAATTCAGATATTGAAATAATGAATATTCAATTGAATTCATTAATAATCTTGGCCCATTTTTCTGTTCTTAAGGGGAGCATAAGGGTGGGGGACTTAAAACAGTTTGGAGGAGATATTCATTTGTTCTTTTGCCTTCAGCCGTGAAACAATCTCATACTGACTCAACATAAAACTCAAGAGCAGCTGGTCAGAAAATGTAACAAAAAATAACAACTGTGAATGGGGACAAAATAGCATATTCTATCTTGTTTTAAGAATCTTAGCTATTTTTACTAGCAAACAAGAAAAAAAAAAATACTTAAGAACATGACATTTTGCAGTCTGCCTCACAAAATCATGTATAATCTACAGTACTATAAATGAGCTGCATTTGCTTTGAGGTGGCAGTTATCAGTCCAGCACGTCTGGCATCATTATCTGCATGCTTGCTGGAGAACATGGCCAGTAAATCTGTGAAGGGTCTGGATCGCACCGCGCTGCTAAATGTGGAGCGCACTGCTGTTCCCACTTACTGTGAAGTGTATTTGGCAGCCACCCATGATGTAGTCCAGGAAGGAGTAGACTCTGTGAAGCTGCAAAATGAAGAATGGAGGGTGAGTCTCAGAAACCCTGCCACATTTATCTGCCTGCCTCACCAGAAAACACTATCTGCAAGGCTACCTGCAAACTTTCAGCCTCTCACATAAACATCACATATCAAACACACACATGTACTGTACACGAGATACTGTACACGAGATGTTTAATACTAGTTTATGGTGGTTTGGTGCTGGTGAACCTGGTAGGCCCAGAAAGTCTAGCAAGTTAAACTAGATACCTGGAGGGGACTTTATATGAAAACTTTTGCTGCCAAAGTAATCAAATTAATGTGTGTGATTAATTAAAATATCAGTATTTATTAATTTTTTAATTTTTTTATATATCTGTCTTTTTTTTTTTTTTATGTTGTTTTTTAATGCCTTTAAAGCAAAGGTAACATCATTTGCACTCTTTGTACTCTTTTTATTGAGCTCAGCGAGTGATATATGTGACCCTGGACCACAAAACTTAAGTGTCAATTTTTCAAAATTGAGATTCATACAAGCTGAATAAATAAGCTTTCCATTGATGTACGGTTTGTTAGGATAGGACAATATTTGGCTGAGATACAACTATTTGAAAATCTGGAATCTGAGGGTGCAAAAAAAAATCTAAATATTGAGAAAATCGCCTTTAAAGTTGTCCAAATGAAGTCTTTAGCAATGCATATTACTAATCAAAAATTAAGTTTATATATATTTACGGTAGGTAATTTACAAATTATCTTCATGGAACATGATCTTTACTTAATATCCTAATGATTTTAGGCATAAAAGAAAAATCTATAATTTTGACCCTTACAATGTATTTTTTGCTATTGCTACAAATATCCCCCTGCAACTTAAGACTGGGTTTGTGGTCCAGTGTCACACATATATATATATATACTGAAGGCCAGCAGCAATAACAAATCAATAACAAATCTGTTGACGAGTAAAGAGTGCCATTCTATAAATTTTGCTCTAGTAGTGTCATCTAGAGAAACTGCCAAACCTAATAGTTACACATGGGACTGTTGTTTGGTTTTCCCAAAACGTAATGCTTTAACTGCTAATGCATTCATTTAATCAGTTCTCAAATTATTCATGAATGTATTAATCAATTAATAGTTCTACTGAAAAACAAAAACAAGTTTCAATCTGAATTGATACATGTGGGGGAAAAAACAGCAACAACACACTTAAGCAGCTCAGTAAATAAAAAACTTCCCTATGAGAAAGTGCACAAACAAGACAAATGCATTAGCCTCTTCCCACCCCACTAATGTCTTTAAGCTTGATTGTCACACCCACCCACAACAATAATAACTCTGCTGTCTTTTCATTCACAGCTGGTTAGCCAGTCAAGTACTAGCATCCCTAAAAGAAGGATGGCATATCTACAAAGCTCTATCTCTATACACATAAACATAGACTTTCAGACTCTTACCTTGAGATCGCTGAGAATAACCAACCCAGAGTTCTTGTAGTTCTTCTTCTTCAGTTTGTATTTTGGATTGATGCAGTCCCATGTGACCTTCAGGAGCACGGGAAGAGATCAAAGAGGTGAGCTGAAAACTGAAAGTCACTTTTTCCACACATGCAGAACGGTTGTGACATTTCTTTAATCCATTCTAGTTCTCAGCAGGAAACAGCTATGACCGTTATCAAACACCAATGTATGGCAGAATGTCTCACACTGACCTTGTTTCCTGAGGAAATCTTCTGCATTTCTTTGAAATTAGTGTAGAATTCGCCAATGAAGTCATGCTTTCCCCTCGAGTCATAGTCCCAGACTAAGCACTGCAGTTCACAGACAATTACAACAACTCGTATGGCTCCATATGTAATTTTGGTTTTATTCTTATCATTTTTTCTCTTAAAGGAATAATCCAAAATGCCTGATTTTGTCATACCAAATCACAAAAATAGTTATTTAGCAGAATGTCCAAGATGCTCTCATATAACAGATGTAGACAGTGACGAATCAAACTCCAAAAAATAATGGAAAAAGCACTATGAAATCACCATAAAAGCAGTCCAGATCATTAATGTGAGGAACAAATTTCACAGTTGTCAGTTGTAATTGCACATGTTCAAACTTGGGAAGAATTTCAGCAAACAACCTAACCTTCCATCCGTTCTCAAACCAACAACTACTGAATCTCTTTATACTACTTGAAAAATAGTGCATGAGTTGCAAGGACCGCTTTATTTTTGTTCTTTTTGAGACTTGACAGCCACTGATTACTATGTATTTGTATTGTAAGAAAAAGAACATCTTAGACATTCTGCAGAACATCTCCTTTTTTTGTTCCAAAGAAAAAATTAAGTCATAAAGGTTTGGAACGATATGAATAATAGAATGCCAATTCTGGAGCGACCTGTTCCATTAATATTCACCTTCAACTTCCTTTCGTCGTCACAGCTGCACAGGGAAATGAGAGACACCTTAAAGGGTTCCCACACAGGGTTCAGATTGTTTTTAATCACCTGTAGATACAAATCAATATCATTGTATAAACTAAAGAAGAATTATGAACAGCAAAAGAAAGATTATTATTCCATGGGGTGGAACTACTTACTTCAGTTCTGTGTACGAGCTGTTCTGTTCCATCATCATTGATCCGGTAAATCTCCAAGAATGGATCTGACTTGCTGAAGAGATCCTACAGTCACAAGAGAATGTCAATACAGTCCAGCCATTCAAAGGAGAACATTATGCAGGGGACAATATTTTAAAACCCCATGGTTTTATGAATGCACTCTTCTTTTCTATATTGATAGAAATTGCCTGGGTCAGGACAAAGGACTTGTCCTTTTTTTACACACCCAAAAGCCATTTGCTACTTGATCTCAAGGAGATCTATTATACTTGAAAGCTATCCATTAGCATTCACATTCATGTCAATGACAGTTGCTCTGCTGGCGCAAAAGCACAGATGATTTAAAATTTGTCATTTTGGCTCATGGGCATTCAGTTCTGGATACAGATTTTTTCTGAGCTGTAAATTTCATGTGAGTAATCAATCTGGAAAGTGATGTAATCACAACACTCGTTGACTGATGGCACCCCAAGAACGTGCGCCAAACTAGCTACTATCCTGAGCAGAAGTAAAGTCTCTTTAATGCTTTTAAGAGCCCTCCAAAAAACGCCACTGGCATACAATTTTACTATAATATGATGAAATATTTATGATTTATATGTTGTTTGCAAACAAATTAATTTAGAAAACAAGACTGATTTTCAATGTCAATTGAGAAAAATGCCTTGTTCCTACCAGCCAGTGGCGAGTGGTGACTTTTTTTAACAGGGTATGCTGAGTGATAAGACACCCATCCAATTCCCATTCTTCTATCGTTTCAAGTTTATCCATTATTCGAATGCAAGAAAAATATAGCTTATTTACCGCTTAGGCAATAACGTTAACAATAACGTATATCTTCAACATACATTGTCTATGACCAAAATGTAAAAAGATATGTTTTCAGTGGACTTTTAAAATTTGCTTTGCTTGAGAAAACAAAAATATACAATGCTTTTTTTATTCCCAGTGAATAGGAGTTAAAACTCCCACCCGGTGACACTACTCCAATAACAGACCATGCAAAATGCCCAAAAATATTTAAAATATTGCAAAGTAACTTTGCAACCTTGCAAACAATAATAAAATCAGAGAAGGACTTTAACTGTAAGCGACACTAGCATACGCAAAACAAAGGGAACAATATGATGTTTGTTATTATTAAATTTTTATATAGCCCACGTTTTTATAAACTTTTTTTTTGCGCTTTGCGGACAGCTTACCTCGCGCGTGAAATCAGCCGCAGACCAGAAAATCACTGAGAACGTGCTACAATCCTGACAAGTCATAGCAACAGAGCGGAGACGAGAAAGCTGCGGAGAATCCGCTCGCCCGGAAGCAACCACAACTGGCAGATTTAAAGAAAATTACTGCCGTTTGGCAAATAAATCATTTTACGTACTTATTCCTAACTCTTTGAGCTATAAGTTACATTTCAAATGACAAGGGATCAACTTATAATCATGTTTATATGAATTATCCCGTGAACTTATTCTCTCAAATGGCCTGGGTATGCGGAGCATTCGCAGCTTATATGGACAGAAAGCCACTGCTACCAGCAAAGGCTATCTGTTCTAACCATGCTAACCAGCCGAACCTTGACAGCTTTGCCCGCTATTGCTGGTAATACCAGGTCCATTTCCCCTGAAGATTGTAAATTTGACTCTATAGGTGCAGTCACATTTACCATTGTTTACCATTGTGAATTTTTTGGGCGAAATCCAGTCATTTCCATAGAAATCCATGCAATCTGTAATTTTGCATGAGCGTGAAAGATTTCCCCACAGATTTCACAAATATTGACACTACTGAAAATAGCTACCCAGGCTCTTTGAAAATACGAAAAAAACACACCTATACGTACGAATCGCTGCAGTTTCCAGTTGAAATGAACACTAGAGGCATTAAAACTCAAACATATTATACTCCTTTTCACAAAAAGTATGGTTTACAGGGCCAGAGTTTTGATTAAGAAAGCCTAATTTTCACACAAATTCTTGCACAATATTATGTTAATGCTGCAAGATTTGAAAACTGATACTTTTGAATGTTAGCATCACATATATAGGTTCAAACGTATGAGTTTTCTAACTCAGTAGGTTTGCTCGGTAGCTCACGCGATACAGTGTTGCACTTGTGAGGTAAAGCACTCTGGAATAAATCCTGTGAAACTAGGGTTTGAAAAAACAACTCAAACCCGCATAGAAGGAATTTAAAATAGCACATCTGCATCAACAAATGCATTTTTAAATCACTTTTGCTGTCGTTTCACGATCAGGTATGTTTAGGGTTGGGTTTGGTGTAGGGGGTATGTTATTTTCCAACACAATACAGCATTAACCTTTTAGTGACACTCCTCAGATAACTGAATTCTGAACTGCTGCAATACGTGCCTGTACCAACGTAAAAAAAAAAACATGTGGAACCGGTCACTCAATCAAATGCGATATCAAATGCGATATTAGCACCACTCACTGGACATTTCACTTTGAAGCTGCCACAAAATGTGCAGTAAGGTACGTAATATCAGTGTTGCAGAAACGTCGCCACAAGCACGTATCTTCAATGAGCTTGGGTTGGACTATAGACAATGGATCTTTTTTGCCTGTGAAATTTTGCTAATGTGACCGCACCTTAAGTTTCTGAGCATATTTTGTCTGGTTTTGGGGGTATATTACCATATGGATAGCCTAAAAACTTACATGGACTAAAGGTGACAAAAATTTATTCTGATTTCATGGGCTCTTGAGCTAAACATTTATAAAGGGAAAATACACGTGTGCAATAAGACACTTTAGGGAAGAAATATTGGTCAAGGAACCATGAACACCTTTCATGATTATTGCATGCCCATGTGTGTTGCTGCCGATTTTGCTTATAGCTGTGGCAAATCAAATCAACTATATTGTCTGAAACAATCATTCAACATAAGGTTTCTGAATTGCGGCTTTCTGGAGAAGACAGAGGTCTTTGTTCCTAAGTGTGTGCAGATGTGAGAGAGAGAGAACGAGGCACAGAGATAAAGGAAGGGAGAGAGGAATTGGTAGAGCAAAAAACGAGCCATATCATATCCCCGTTTCTCGCTGCATTAGTGTGAGACATCTCCACAGGGACACTGAAAGAGGAGGTGCCCCCACTATCTGGTTGTCAAGGTAACATCTTGCCAGTGGTTTGAGTGAAGACTGATTTAGACAAGTGATTTGTCTGTTGTTCGCATTCGTAACATGCATCACACCTCTCACAACTGTCATTGCATTTGTGAAGTTCATATGCACTGATGAGTCCTGGCTGTTCATTGCTCCCAAAAGACATTTAAGGCTCCAAAGAGATGAAATCTTTAGTGGCATTTTGCTTTAACGGCTGGCTAAATGCACAGACTAAAGGTTAATTCTGTGCTTGTCTTTTATGATCTGATGAAAGATAGAGCTATCAATGTCCCCTGAAAAAGACAAAATATGTGCTAATATCTACAGAGAAGCCCATGTGAAGGTACAGCACCAAATTAAGCATTACAATTCACAGAGAAATTGCCAAGTGAAGAGTCTTTGATAAATGTCACATAACCCAGAGCGACTTTTCGATTTAAAATGCATTAGTGCCTTCTTCATAAAGAGAAATGGCATTCACATCAAAGACACAGACGTCTCTAGCATGCATCACGTGCAGAAGCTGTCATGAAGTCCAATATAGTTTGATTTGCTAATATGTCCATTCTGTTAAATCATATCAGTCTGTATGCACAGAAAGCCAACGTTATTTGAACAGACAGATCTTGTCCAAAGATAGCAGCACAGCCATTATTCTGCCTAGCTGTTTATTAGACTCCATCCATCCTCTCGCTATGATATCCGGACCGGGATACCAGAGCCAACTCTAGGTTTTGAGGATGAGTGTGAAGAAGAAATGCTACTCAGCTCATGTAATACAGCGAATGTGAAATGTTCAGAACGCACATATTAATGATTGTAATTCCTAACAAACACATGCAAAACATCATAATCTACTGAGCAATAATTAACAGACCTGAGGGTAAAATTTGAAATCACAAGCTTCAATATAACAATTACAAGAGGGGATACAATAAAATCCCCCCTCCCTGAAATAGAGCATTAAAAAGGTTGGCTGATGAATATGTTGGGGCTAATGGTAGAGACTGCTAGAAATGAAAGTGAGAATTCAATTTTATTGCCTTTCAGAATTAGCCAGGTTAATATTCTAATGGGCAGGCGGACAAGCTCGTCGCTAGGATGGTAATACATTAGTGATGTGACAGCGTAGCCTCTGCTTTCATGCATATGCAATGTGCAAATAATCTGGTTCCATATTCTGCATACAGCAGAACTAAACAAGATTTACTGCATCAGCATATGTCTTTAACCAAGAGAAATCCTGCCTTAACAAATTTGAGGTGACATGCTGGATTAGCTTTACCATACTGAACCAAAGCACATGTGCATTTTTAGGTTGAAGAGATGGAGGATTATCTACAGTATAAGAGGCACGGGACAACCCCTCTATGCAAGGGTCCCTCATATGGTATGACATTATTGTTCAATTTGTATGGAGCTGTTTTTACACTGCATAATAGCAGCAGATATTCTGTGCGTATACCCAGAGGCATAGAGGTGACAAATGTATTTACACAGATTCACAATTGCAGAAAACAATGGATCATGTGCATTGATTGTTTTGTGTGCACAGCAGACAGAAAATAAGACGTGTACTGATTGATCATGAGAGAGCTGCTGTAAAGATGTATCTGTGTAAAGATGCTTTTGGTGCAGAATTTGACAGGGATACATTGTTAAGCAACAAGTTCTGTTGTTACTAGCGCAAGTGAATGATTCTGCATTTACCAAACCTATAGTTCCAACAAACATTCGCAAACTTGTATGGTTGGAACTACAGCTTTCGACCTGTGGTTAGAATCATGGTTTCTTGTTAGTGTGACATGTGGACGCTCTTGGGCACAATAAACAAGCTAACATGCAGTTAATTCTATATCGTTTCTTTCCATTAAAATATATATATATATATACATTTCAATCTATAAATTTTGGTCTGTGAACAATCCAGTGCCTTTTTTGAAGAGTGCGTATGTGCATGAATGTGTAAGGTAAAATAGTGATAAAATAAAGCAAAATGACAAGGATCAAAAATAGTCCTCAGATGGCATATTCCACAGGTATATGCCACAGACTTCCAAATATGACAATACCCTTGCAAAAGACTTCCTTTCTAAAATATATAAATAGCTAAAATAAAAGTACTTATGTGTACAATGTTATCTAGACAGAGATTCTATGAGAAACAATAAAAAAAGAGAACAGAAAAAAAGAATCAACAGAAAAAAACTCTTTACACTCTTTGTCCTCAGACCCCCAAATGTGCAAAAATTGCACCTTTAGAGGTACAACATTTTGTCACTGGGGCAAGACCCCTAAAGGGACATCTTTGTACCTTATCTTCCTCTAAAAGGTATATTAGTACTTTAGTTGCAGTTACTTTTCTTATCTTTTTGAGCTGAATGGATGGACAATGGATGCATGGTTAGAAAGATGGATGGATGGGCAGATGGATGGATGGGATGGGCAAATAGATGAATAAACGGATGGATGAATAGATGGATGGGCTAGGTGCTTCCCAACCCATCCATCTATTCAAGCGTTTAGAGGTAAATAAGGTACAAAAAATGTCCCTTTAGGCAGGGCTGTACGTTAACTTTTTTCAGCATGATTGTGAATCGCCGACAGCTCCAGATATTTAGCATGCCAAATATTTCGCGGGCGTCGGCGAGCGTCGGTGATTCCCTCAGATTGCGTCTTTGATAATTCACACTGCATGATTGTCACTTGCGTGAACGAGCACCGATTTGCCTCCAATGTCGGCATTTGTCGGCGATTTCGCAAAACCTGTCGGCGAGTGAAAAATCGGGCTAAAATCGTGCAGTGTGAACTCGGCATTACTGTCCGTTTCTCTCCCCACTGTTTACTTTCATTTTAGACATAACCAACTGTGTTTATATGTAAACCTTGTGTGTTTTTGACAGTATTAGACGCG